AAAAAAACCCAAAACAAACAAACACCAAAGCCCACCTAGCGTGTTCAGCATGAAGAAGAATGAGGGGAAACCTCATCACAGCCTACAAGTTCCTCGTGAGGGGCAGCGCAGGAGTAGCTCCGATGTCTGCTCTCTGATACCAGTGAGAGGACGGCTGGAGGCGTGTCACGGGAGGTTTAGGCAAATAGAGCAAAAAAAAGATGCTTCCCCCAGAGGATGGTCGGGCACTAAACAGGCTCCCAGGGCAGTGGTCACGGTCCCAAGGCTGCCAGAGCTCAAGGAGTGTTTACAAAAGAAAAGAAAAGGAAACCAAAAAAGAAACCCCAAAAAACCGCCCAAAGAATCTCATAAAAAGAAAGAGCTATTAGTAAGGACAGAGGACTCTACTGCTAGAAAAGGTTAATCCAGTACCCTGCATTAATAGCTTCTGCTGAGAGTATTTAAGACTCCCACTTTATATTTCTTCAAGTGCAAAAATTGGCTCCCAGCACCACTGAAGCTCAGCTCATTCATGCCTTGAGTGTGACTTGAGACTCAGTCTTACCATTTAATTACCATTTTTCAGCAGTTCTGAGAGGACCTCACTAGACACAGGCTAACAAAAGAAGAAGAAACGTATATTGTGGATCACTCGAAGAAATTTTGTAGTGATCCACAATATGCATCCCAAAGCCAGTTGTGGTGTTGCCAAGTCAGCATGGAGACAGCCAGTGTTGTTTGAACATGCTGTGAGGACGGAATGGTAATTTTAGTGTGTCAGCACTATGTGCTGCACCATTTCCACTCAGAGTTTAGCAGTGAGGTTGCTGTGGTGCGGAAGCAGAGCAGCCTCCATCTCACACAACACCTGGTGGTAATTTCACTAATGAGCAGAGTAAGCACCAGCCTTGGACTGGATTTTGTGCGAGTAGAAGCTTGACGAGAACAGGGAGCTCTGTGCCAACTGTAAAACAGGGAGGGAAAGAAGGACAATTAGCCATCAGAGACTTCTGCCCTAAAACATCCTCAGTTTTGGCAATAAACAAGCTTAGAATCAAGCAAATGTCACTATTCCTTTTCTGTGTGAATCGGGATTCTTGCAGCAGTTCTGTTATTTTGTATTATGATTAGGTTTAAGTTTAGCAATTAACAGTAGCATTGCTCTTGAAGTAAGTACACCAGCATACCACTAGTTAATTCACCAATTCCCTCACACTGGCAATTCCAAGGGCCCATGGGTGCAGACAAATACAATATGTGGTACTAGCCATCATGTACATTGACTTAAGTGTGCCCAGAGGCACAAAACAAAATGCAATACAATAACTATTTGCTGCTCTAGGTTAAGTGTGCTCGTGGGTACCAGCAAACTCAGTATAATGATCAACTGTTCGCCCTCCCAAAAGCACTTGGGATGAAAAACAACATCAATGGGCACCTAAATATAAGCTCCTGATACAAAACCACCATGCAACTGTGAGTAGTGAAAAACACAAAGTGCCTGGGCCTATTCCTAATTACAGAGCAGTAAAAGACAGGAGAATTTAATGAATAATGGTCTATTGGTCTGGTCAGATTGATAAGGAAGGTGAACAGTTTCTCCATAAACATTTACCATAAAGAGAACTTTCCATTCACAAGCAAGTTATCAACATAAAAGTTTACTTATGCCCAGCAGTCTAAAACTACTAAAGAAAAGTTTCTCTGAAACAAAAAAAAAGGAGCTTTCACCCACATAAAGTACCTGGAAAGATTGCTTAGTCCATGGCACTCACACCCTTCCTAATTCAGCTAAAACAACACTTAAGACTTCATTATAGATCCTGAAATATTTAAGGCAATTTTACCACGATCCTATGAAATGATGACTCCAGTTATCTCATTTCTAATCCACCTGAGATAGTTTAGTCCTGTTTTGTAAAGAGGAAGAGTTTCTGCATTCCTTTTGGTTCATACCCTCATTTGCTTAACTCTCCCAGACTGATTAGACAGGTGATGTGTTTTTTAGTCTCTCAGCAAACACATTGAAAATCAGATTTTTTAAATAGGTTTGGCTCTTTTAAAGTTCCAGAGGGCTCAATGGCTCAGTCTGGGTCCTTTCAGCCCTCGTAGCTATTGGGTGAGGTTTGTTGGGGTCCATGTCACTGCAACTCAGGGCTCACCAGCCAGGTGTGGTGGTGTCCTGGCTGCTACTCAGCAAACCCAGCAAACAGAAGGACTGGCCTGGCTGAGAGCTCTGGTAGGAGCTGAGAATCTTCTGTAGTTACTGGAAACCCAAATGGTGACAAAAAGGCCCCTCTGAGCTCCAAAGCCACTGCTGGCATTGGCCTGCTGGCTCTTTTGTGAGCTGTGAAGAGTTTAGAACAGTGGGGATTATCTGCCATCTCCACCCTCTTGTTTGAGTGCTACCTGTGGGAACTACCAAACATTTGCATCTTTCACAGGGAATGCAAAAATAATTTTGCTCTGTTTTGTTTGGCAGAGTTAGATCAAACCATCTTCAAGTCATCTCCCTTGCCTTTCTAGAGCATCCAGTAGCAGAGCCTGGGAAGAATTTCTCCCTGTGATTCACAGAGGTATCCAGTCAGTTCCCAATGCTGATATGCCAGGCATCTTCCAGCAGAATCTGATTCCTTGTGCAGTGTAGTGGAGCTGGGATTCAGTCTCTTGTTGGCTAGATTCTGTAGTCACTCCTAGCATGGAAGAGCATCAACTTCCATCAGCGTAAGTTGGCATAAACCAAAGGATAAAACCCACATACTGGGAACTAAATAAAATTGCTAACTAACATAAAATTGCATTCATTGGTGTGTGACAGGTTCTAAATACTGAATGCAACCATTGGAATTTACAGAGGGGGTTGGAAATAGACTCCTTCAAAAGTGAAAGGTGGCTTGGGTAAGGTTTAGCAAGTACTCTGTAACACCTGGAAGAGTGTGAAGGACTGCTTTGGCGGGATCTGTTCACAAGCTTTGTCTAGTTTTCCTTCAATGTTTTTTATCTTCTTCTGCTTTTCTCTCAAGGACAGGGCAGACAGTCTGAGTAGTTTTTGCTGGTTTTGAAGGATGCACATTGAAGCAAGAGCTGAAGGATAAGACAAAGACTGTTTTTAAAATAGTTAGGCTTTACTGCCTGGTGATATTTTTTTGAAATACATTTACTGAAGATTTATGTAAAATCTATCTTTTGTCTACTTAAAATATCTCAAATGGATGTTCAGGTCAAAATTTAATGCGTATGGGTTTTCATTATCTTAAATCATTTGCAATATAAATGATTTATGATGACATCAGACCTTTGTTCTTTGGCTGTCCACCATAAATTGAGGCCCACCCAAATTTCCAGCCTTAGCTGTATTTCTGCATTCCCTGCCCCAGTATCCATAATCTCAGTTCTGTGATTCTTCATGTAAATGACTTTGAACAAGGAAAGGAAGGGAACACATAATTTGCCTTAATACAGGTAATTTTGAAAGAGGAGCAAGACCTTTACATGAGGAATAGTTGACATCCACAGAAGGGGAGAACTAATGCTTGTAGAAGTGAAAGTCATCCTTGATGAGGGTGGTGAGAGCTACCCATCAACCAAACGTGACTAAATGGACTTTTTGTGTAGTTCAAACTGCCAGAGGTGATCGACTTCTATCTTTCTGAATTTTTTCATGTCTTCTTTTTGCCCTTAAATTTGTCATGCAATTAATTAATCCAGCTCTTGCCAGTAATGTTGTAGGTAACTGCTTGGAAAACTGAAAGTATTGGGATAAGCCAGGCTCCCCATGGTCATTCTGTAAGCCCACAGTGAAAAACCTTAGTGGCACCTGACACCCAGAATTGTACTGTCATGACAAACTTGCTCCTAACAACCATAAAAATTTTGAAATGCTCAGAACTTTTTGAAAGACCTTGTGAAAACTGCATTCATTATCATGTTTGCAAGTTGTCCTATGGCAGTTAATGTATACAGATTTTTGGATCCATCAAAGGCTGTATTTGAAGCCTTCCCAGCTCAGTAGTTACTGAAAATTGCTGCCGCCAAACAGCTCTTTTGTGGCTACAACTACAAGAATTAAAGCCTGAAGTCTGCCCAG